GATTTTTTTTATACAAAGTTACAAAATATATTACTTGAATTTTAAATTCTTTAAATTTAGTGATTAGCTACAGATTCATTTCTGGTTAGCGCATCTGAGTCCTTGTCTAAATCTAAATCTGGGTCCGGCTCTGAATAGGATAAAAGCAATTAGTAATTATATAGGTCAATGATATCCTCGACCTCACTATTTTCTTGTTTAGGTGATGGGGTATTTGGTCTGTCATTCATTACACCATAATGTTCAACTAATAAAGTATGACCTATTTTATGTCTATATGCCAATTGCCGTAAATATTGATGGCAGGAATCATTTCTATCTTTATGTACTCTGGAAGCATGATCGGCACCTATTTTTTTTAACATATATGAGGTAATTCTATGGTGACTTAAGAATTGATTAAGAGGTGCAATATTAGTATTCCCATCCTTATTTTTTAACAAGAAGGGAAATTTATCCAGTATTGATTTCTGAAACTAGATAAATAATTCTCTTGCTCGTATTGGATTTTTTTCTATTGAAAGGAATGGTCGGAGTTCTTCTACCTCACCTTTATTTTTTGCATAACCAATACAGTACCAAGAATAGTCAGGATTATACTATGACTCATGACTTGGTTTGTATTGGTTGATACAAAGATTTTTTACATCTGCTAATCGCATACATAGCATTATTATTATATCTATTAGATTTTGCATTGAAGGAGACTTGGGAATATTATATTTGTTAAGTCTTTCCTGAACCTTTTCCAGGTAAAAGAACTCGGGACAATCATAACCATTAATTCCACGAAGTATATGCTTTCTTGCTTGAATATGATTTGCTTCTTCAGTAAAAAAAAGTATTTTCGTTGCCTCAATAATAAGATAATTAGCTTCTAAGCTATGCAACTCTTTCCGTAATAAATTAAAACGAGAATTTCTCACAACAGTAGTAGGAGTAGAAGAAGCCAAGTCATATGCTATTCCATTTATTTCTTCAGGTGAGAGATTATTTTTTATAATATCTTGGGCAATAATTTTAATTGGATCTCTTTCATAAACATGTCTCCCAGAAGCTCAAATAGAAATAAGAGTATCAGCTTGTTCTTTATTCAACCCCAACTCTTGGAAGCGTCTTTTGGCTTGATCTCTGGCTTTTCAAGCCTGCTCTTTTGTTTTACCATCTGAAAGTTTATTAGCCAACTCTTCGGCATAAATACTAAGCTGGGGTAAACTAGTTTGAGGAGTCAATTTGTAGCGATTTACAAATAATGTAGCGATTTTTGCCATGGTTAGTATAAGTCAGTTAATATGATTGAGATGTTTTATATAGACTATTTTCGTCTAATATATACTATGGAGATTCTTTTTTCAAATCGAAATAAATTATGCTTCCCCCCCTATATCTATAAAAAAGAGTTTATGTATACCTATAGGATTACCAGATATTGAGCTATATAATTATACTTCATGTATAGAATCAGGTAAGTCAGGTATATGATTCTCAAGTATAACAATTTTTGCATATAATTCAGCCTGTTTTTTTTGATGATAATATTCTCTTTTTCAATATTTACTCACATGATTCGAGCATACACCATATGTAGAATATGTTAATTTACCGCATTCTTTGCAAAGAATCCAAGTTGGTGAATTCCAATGAAGTTTACACCTTCTGGATGATAGCAACCTCAATTGCAAACTTTGCCAGTTCTAAGAATATAAGGGCAATAATAGAGTCCCATATTTATTATAATAATAATTGTATAGAATAATTAATTTCATTTTAAAGTTTTTTGGGTTAAGTATAATACTTTTAGTTTATAACTATACACTACATATACAAACAACACATATATACAAATCAATAAAATAAGTTTATCTAGTGAAACAAAAAAACGTCTTCATGAATCGTTACAGCAACAGTGCTTAAATCAAAAGTCAGCCGAATATAATGAAGCAAAAAGGCTTTTTATGGGTTTAACGGATCTTGACTATAAACCTGCCTATACAGAACATACATTTTATAAATACTGGCTTGCATCTAATGATCGTGCTAGCTCAGCTGATAAAAATGATACTGTGCTTTTAGATGCATATCAACCCGAAGAGATTCATTCTCAATATATAGTTCGAGTAGCAAGAAAAGGCTATACAGTGATTGATTATTCTTCTGAAGTTTATAGAATACCTGATGCCCATAAATGTATTGATGAGAATCAACCCCTTTGTTTAGTAATCGATATTGACGTGAGGCAAAAGCCTGATCCTTCTGATATTAAACTTCCTTTTCTAGATAATAAAAAAATTATTCGTGAGGATTTGATATCTCGAATTTTAGTCTCTTGTGTAGATGCATGTCTTTCTTAAATTCTTTTGCATTAGCAAGTTCATTGAATACTAATAAATGCAGCTGGCATATTATCTATCCTCGTGCCCAATTCATAAATTATAGAGAACTCAAGGGTTTTACAGAAAAAGTTATGGAATTAGTTGAAGAACCTTATGCCAAATTCATTAATGTTGGCCTTCCCAAATCACGTTTTAGTCTTCGACTTCTTGGATCAGCAAAAAAGAGATACATAAAAAGACCTGCTATCTCTTCCGTAAATAAGGGATTTAAAAATTTAGATGATTACCTAGTTCAGCCTAAAGAAAATTATTCTGTAATTTGGCCACAAACCTTTTCGGAGGAAAGGCCAGCAAAAGAGAAATACCAACCTACCAACGATGATAATGCCTTAGTTAAGGGTGCTAATTTAGTTATTGCAAATTTCAGATAGCTCCAGATTGGAAGAATCGAGAAAGGATTTATCAACTTTCAAGCACAATCTGTTAAAGAATGCCCTATATGTGATGTTAAACATGAAAAAGACCAACTCTATGGATTTATTCGAAAAAATGAACATTTTATACTCAAGTGCTATCGGCAAAAACAATATAAACCAGATCACAAAGGGCTTAGTTTCGATAAGGTATTAGATAAAGTCGAATCAGAAGTGAAACTCAAGAAGTGGGGATTAATTGAAAGATTGCCCAAGGCTGTAAAACATCCACGCCCACT